ACTAGTGATTCCGGGTGCTCGAAACGTAACGGTGATCTTGTCTGGCTGGACTGCGAGATCCGGCGCCTAGCTATTGTCGGCTAGCGGGGTTTTCCTTAATCAGATATTTCCCATCAGCGGGGCACCGCCACAACCGGGACAAATTGTAAGCTGCTGACCAGACTCCTAGCATGTGTGATAGTGTAGTTCATGTGTCAGAGTGAAAGGAAGGGGTAGGGCAGTAGAAGGAATGGGAAGGAAAAATCGCTCGCGATCCGTGGTTCATTTGCTAGGGTACTACTCCGATGGTATTCACCTGGAATTGATTGGAGAAATCTCGTAAAACTACCTACCAGAGCAGGCGGTGGCTACAATCTCATCCAAACATCGAGTATTTGGATGTTCACTGAATTAGTCCTTTGTATGCCAAAAATATTGTTTTCAAAGTTGCTGTTCAATGTCGCAACCCGTGAATAATAAATAATTAATGAAAGTGGTCTTTCCTTGGAACCTTGCTGTCGCGTTACCTCCACTGTGTCAGAATCAATGACTGATAGCACGATAACTCTTTCTGCACGCGCAGTTTGAGGATAGGCGGAATAACAAATATCAAATATTTGAATTATGCGGTCAAATTTGAAACTGTTTTATTGCTTTCGTTTTTTTCGCGCGTTTGTCAATATCTTATTAATTGTAGTTATCTCTCACATGTACAGAGTCTGCATTGTTTTCTTTCAATTTCTGAGCGTTTTGAAAATTAGCAGCAAAGGTATTTTTATTCAGATTTTTAGTCACATAGAGATTTAGTGACGAAGGTGTACACAAACGTGTGTGGCAAAAAACGTTAGTTTCACGTTCGTACCCAGCAAGTAAAATATGGAGGTTTGTTTTTGTGTATGTTTTCAATCACACTCACGTAGAGGTCGCCACTTTCATTTGTCGTTCTTTGTGCAAGGTACCTGGAAATTTAAAGGTCTTTCACAAAAAAATAATGAAAAGTCAAGGTCGTCGAAGCACAAAACTAACAATGAATGATCTTACTCTCTAGAGTGTAAACATATTTAATTACGATTCGACTGATCAAAGCGACACGAAGCTGATAAGCCCCAAACAATGTCAGTGACAAGAAATTTACCATAAACTTAACCATACAAGAAATAACAGACCAACTTAAAAGTTCAAGACATATTTATTTTTAATATTTAGAGAAAATTTTTGTTTGACGCGTTTTCCGAGAAAGAATATTACTCTCGAGTAATATTAATTAACAAAGTATAACAAAGTAATTTCAGAAAGTGAAACGACAGACAGATAATATCAATGTTGCTAGAAAGGAGTGCATCTTTGCTAATACCTTTTGAAGGATTATCGGGTCGTTTCTATAATGAAGCTTTTACCGGTTACATTCTACAGCAATATGTAGATTGTACATATTGTTCTAAAATGACGAGTGAAATATTCGCTTTTTCCGCATTTATGCAACGCACAAGACTGTGAATAATGACCTAGCCGAGTACACATTTGGGGGGTCGAAGGAATCCGCTTTTACTTTTTTACCTTGCTACGTACGTAGTAAAGAGACAGTATTGGAATTGTGCGGCGGAAATAAACAATAATTCTACAGAAAAAAAACTCTTACTATCTAGCTCTCATATCGATAAAGTTGTTAAATCTTGTTCCTTTATGTATTTACTTCATTTATAATGTTATGTGTTCAAATTCTACGTTTTGCGGGTCCTTGATGTCAAAAAATTGGTTGACGACGAAACGTGTGTCCGTCTGCTTGTGCCTCTGCTCAAAACTAACATAAACAGATACGATATTTCTTTCAAAAATTACATTCCCCCATCAATCTCAACACTCCAAGGCCCTGAAAATGTGAAACGGAGAATTTGATTTTTGAGGGAATTTTAAATGAAGCGTAAACAGCATTTTCAATTTTTTTGGATTACATTTTACCGGATAGAGCAGAGAACGTTTAAAAGTGGCAACGCCATGACACAACAGTTTGAAATTTGTAAAATTACTTTTCATTGTTGGGCAACAATATTTGTTGCTGTACAGAACGCAGATTTGGATGGTGAAATTTATGTTGCTGAATTAACTTTAAAAAACTCGCTTTTGCACGTCATGCGCTACAAATAGTAATCAGTTTCTACAAGTGATGGGTTGAGATGTGTTAATAAGAACTAAAAACTTGCGGTATTATATTACGTTAGTGTCGCACATTCGAGAAGTATTGCGCTAAAAAAATGTGAGCCTTTACAACGCCCCGAATGCATCATCTGAGATGTTTTTAAATCCCTATTCAATATTTCATTTTGCCCACTCTTGCTTTCCTTCCATATGTAACTGAATTTTGTAACAGAAATAAAGAAGAAATAATGTTTCTTACAATTCCATTTTTTACTTGTAACCATTACATTTCTACCAATAGTAAAATGAAATGGGTTGTATTAATTCATTTACACGAAGCCACAGAAAGGAGTGCGAAGTGTGTTGCCTGCCCGTGTCGCAACCGCTGACGCGTTCGACGTGTTGCAGACCCGCTGTTCGTGATCATGGAGTTCGTGGCGCTGGGCAAGCTGCAGAGCTTCCTGCGCAGCTCGCGCGCCGAGCGTTGCTACGGCAACCTGCACGGCGCCAGCGCCTCGCTCACCTCGCGCGACCTCACCTCCTGCGCTTACCAGGTGGCGCGCGGCATGGACTTCCTCTCCTCCAAGGGCGTAAGTAGCCACGGACAACTTAATTAATCCAATGATCGAAATTATAAGTCGATTGATTGAAATTCTTAATCGATAGATTTAAATTCTTTATCGATAGATTTAAATTCTTTATCGATAGATTTAAATTCTTTATCGACAGATTTAAATTCTTTATCGACAGATTTAAATTCTTTATCGACAGATTTAAATTCTTTATCGATTGATTTAAATTCTTTATCGATTGATTTAAATTCTTTATCGATTGATTTAAATTCTTTATCGGTTGATTCCGGTATTAATCGATTGATTGCAGTATTAATCGGTTGATTGCACTATTAATCGATTGATTGAAGTATTAATCAATAAATTGGAAGAATTCTATCGTTTAAGGAGAGATATTTCAAGTAAATTAAATTATTTTTAGATTATAAACGGATTGAAGCAGAAAATAAAGGATGCATTTTAAAATATATTTTTAAATTCGGTAGTGTACATAAATTATTAACTTTGTAGATACGTACAGTACTTAAAAATATTGTTTCATAAAGCATTTAGAATTATGTTGAAAAAGTCTTCAATTTTTTAAAATTAACTTTTACATGACGAGAGGAAAGTGTGTTGAATAGGCTCATCTGCAGAGTAGCTGCATTGAGGGATATTTATTTCCATTTTATGTACGATAAAACAATGTCAATCCAATAGTTATTTTCTTATTTCAACTTAGAAACTTTAAATTAATTATTATTTTCGTTTATTCAATAAACTATTTTTGTCAATAGTGTACTATTAACCTTTTTCACAAATTCGAAATTCACAAATGATGCAAAAAAAAGTGTAATGTCTTGCTCCTCCCTTCATAAAGTCATTACACGTATGGCTTTTCAATCTTATTAGTTTTAATATTGTGTCAAAATATTTTTTATGTATGCTTTGAAAATAGACTCTAGAATTGCTCATTCTCATTAATCGATTAATTATTTCTTCTCCATCAAACAAACGATTCATCAAAATTGTTTTTATTAATTGTTACAATTAATCGATGCCAATTAATTGAATGAGTTTTGCCAACACTATGCCACGCACATCACGTGATTAAGATGCGGATGAATTCCAAATGGTATTTCAAGAGGATTTTACGTTTCTGGGCGCGGCAACTACTTCGTTCGTTAGTCCCGGAGTGTTGTGCATGTTAGAGCCGTTAGCTGCCGGTGATCCTTCCACTGCAATATGTGATCTAATGCCGTCCTACATGTCGACATGCGGGGCTCTCCGCTCCTGATATATCCGTCAGCAAGGACCCCGCCCCCAGACGTGATAAGCTAATGCCATTACCCTCGTAGGATCTAGAAACGCACTTATTTTCGAAGCATCAATCCTACGATTTACTGGGACTCATAGAATAAAAGTTAAATATTTGTTCGGTCTCCGCAACAGGAACAGTTAAACTGAATTCACTTACACTAAATACATTTAAGCTTCCTACAAGGTAATTTTAATGAGGGCATCAATGCATTTGAAATACATTTTAAAAAAGCAGGTATGAGTTGATATTAAAAAATGTACTGAAAATTAATTTACGCTTTATTCAATTTTAAATATTTTTCATCACCGGATGTTGCCATCTGAAGACGACAAATAAACTACTTACATGAGTGATATTATATCCGGTCTTCTCTCCTCAGTTATTACCAATTTTTTATATTTTAAGACCTTTTTCCCACAAAATTAGGTTATACTACTTCACCATAATACGCATTGGTAAAGGGCGAGTTTTTAGAGGTGTAAAAAACACCGTAAGGAGCAAGACTCTCTACTAGAAGGTTTTTGTGCAAAAATAATGGTGTTGTGCATTGATCGTAAAGTATTTAGGATGCCCTGGAAACGTTTCTCTTTTGTGTGTAGAATTAATCCGAAAGGAGGAAAATAACACATTAGATCTAAATACATACTGTCCTTATGGGGAATTCTATAAAGTAATTATAGTTGTATGCATCCACGTTTTATAAATAGCGAAATAATTATGAATGCGTTATAAAAAAGAAGTAAAGATCTACTGAGAAAAACTTCTATCCTAAAAATATTATTTTTGTTTCTTTCGCAAAAATAATAAAAATAACCATACAATATGCTATAATAATGTCATTTTTCTAAAGTTTTTGCGAACACTATATTTATTGCATTTCTATATTTAATCAATCTTTATAATCATATGTAATTAATAATCATATGTAAATATAAATTTCAAATAGGTTTCTGTATTATCGTTTATTATTTGGAGGAACTTTAACAATTAACAAGGAAGCTCTCTTGACATAGTAGTTTATTGTTAACGCGTCTTGTCCTGTATGAGTTAACCATGTTTTTTGACGATGTGTGGTTAGGTAAAAGCACTTTTTGAAGAAATGAATACAGCCGTTTGTGTTGTACTAAGGTACGTTGTATTCGGCAACTCAAGAAACCGGGGTTCTTGCGCGAAAAGGCTATATTTACTCTCAAAAAGACAGGAAAGTCAAAATTAATTAAATTAAATTAACCAACATGTACTAATGAAACAAATTAAATTTATTTCTTACTGATACTTTATTGGCTTGTTATTGCCTTCGCTGCGGAGCTTGATATACACGCTACATAGCTTACCTGAATCGTGAGGATAATGGTTAGGAGGGAAATATAAAAACAGTTGAATGACGTCACACGTTCTCTTATGAAGGCAATTATGATTGGGGAATTATGGGGGAGAAATATGAAAAAACAGACCGAGTCAAGTTAGCGTCTAGTTAATTAGTAAATAAGTAAATATGAAACATTAAAATTGAAAAAAAAAAATTTTTTGTATATATCCCGATAGTTAACTAGTTCTAATGATTTTGAGTGACACAAAGCTCTCGAACCAAACGCTCTGTGTGTTATCTAGGCAATCCGAGCCGATCCGCATCATTGACATAGTGGCTAACGTTTCGGCCAGCTTATTGTGGCCTTCCTGAGAGCGTACTGGTGAGCGTAAGCAGTTAGTTCTGAGGAAGGTCACGATTCGCTAGGCGAAACGTTAGCCACCATGTCAGTGACGCGGCTCGTCCCGGAATGCCTAGATAATACAAACTCCGGCCGCGGAAGCCTACGCAACCATTTCAAAGGTGCTCTGCCTTTTTGTCGCCGCACGATCGTTAGAAGCCTTATAACACCCTTGGTGCGTAAACAACTATTTTCCGTCGCAGTGTCTGGAGCGTGCCTCGTTTCATCCACAGATCATTCACCGCGACCTGGCGGCGCGCAACGTGCTGGTGGGCGAGGGCCACGTGTGCAAGGTGGCCGACTTCGGCTTCGCGCGTGACGTCATCGCCAGCCACGTGTACGAGCGGAAGTCGGAGGGCCGCCTGCCCATCCGCTGGATGGCGCCGGAGTCGCTCTACGACAACATCTTCTCCGTCAAGTCCGACGTCTGGAGCTTCGGCGTTCTCATGTGGGAGGTACGTGTTCCACTCGCGATTTACGCTTTAAGGTTCATTCACAATGCAAACATAAACATAAGAATGGCGTTAACATTAAGTTTATTAACGTTAACGTTAAAGTTATTAACGTTATTAACGTTAACGTTAAAGTTATTAACGTTATTAAC